CGCCGGCGGCGGGAGCGGGGCCCCCGCCCCTCTCCGGGTTGGCCCTGATGCTGCGGGGTGGGCCCGGCCGGCGCCGTCTGAGGCGGAGCTCTGACCCCCAGCGCGGCCCGTCGTGCCAACGGTAGAATGGGGGCGCGCGCCTCTCCCCCCGCCCTCCCGGCACGCGGTGTCCTCGTGGCCAGAACGTTCCCCTCTGCCCTCGCGCGGGACGGGCTCTGTGTGACGGAGGAGCAGCCTGTTCGCCACGTGCTAGCACGTTGCAAGGAGGCCCTCACATACAGGTAGAAGGCCAGTCGCACCCTTTCGCTTGCGTGTTCAACGGTAGAATGGGGGCGCGCGCCTCTCCCCCCGCCCTCCCGGCACGCGGTGTCCTCGTGGCCAGAACGTTCCCCTCTGCCCTCGCGCGGGACGGGCTCTGTGTGACGGAGGAGCAGCCTGTTCGCCACGTGCTAGCACGTTGCAAGGAGGCCCTCACATACAGGTAGAAGGCCAGTCGCACCCTTTCGCTTGCGTGTTCCAGTGAGTGTTGTCAACTAAAGCATTCCGGCCTTGGATTCGGCGTGAGAGACGATACTCGTGCCCCAGCACCTTTGCACCAGTGGTACCTTGGTTGCAGAAAGGGGGACTGGCGGAGAGCACTGAGGCACGTTACTTTGCATAGAATTACATTTTAGCTGCATGGCTAAATAGGTAGCTAGTTGAGGGATCTAAAAGATGATGTGTGGAATGTGGTGTGAACAAGAAAGAGAGAGACTTGACCAGCAGCAGATTTCTGCCAAAATCGTTAAGCACTACTGGATAGCCTCTCTTGGGAACCACATGATTGTGTAAATCTGAGTTGGGCAAAATATGGCCCTTGGACCGAATCCAGGACATTAAATATTTTCCTCTAGCCCAGCATGACTCTGTACTGGGATTGTAGGAAAATGTCCCATGGCCCAGCTGGGTGGTCAGGCAGTCCACCTGCCTTCCTGCTGCAGCCCCAGTCATGCCACTCTTGGGAGAGCTGTGAGTGGCTGTTGCTAGCAGGTGTGTGTAGGGGGAATAGGGCAACAAATCTCTGCACACTATCTTTGCCTCCAGCACCATACTTGCAGTTCCCAGTGGCCAGAAGCCCCCTGCCACCAAGGGACGTGCAGAGATGTGCCAGCTGGAAGCTTTGAATAGCATGAAGCTACCATGGGCATGCAGACAACCTGACTGCTTGAGTACTGTGCTGCACCACCAAGCTGCCTAGGCTGGTGTCTCCCAGCCAGAGCTTGCACCTGGCACTCACACGTGCACCCCAGCCCCTGTCCGAGGTCAGAACTCCCTCTTGCACCCAACTCTGTCCGATACCTGACCCCACTCACATCACTGCCCCAGGTCAGAATCTCCTCCTTTCCTCTCAGCTTCTGTACAACCTCCTACTTCCCAATCTCTGTTGGGAGTTCTCTCCTGCACCTAAACACCATTCCAGACTCTTCACCCCCTCCATTAGTATAATAGAAAAGTGTGGCCTGTGACCACTTACCAAATTCTTGGAGTGCCCTCCCACAAAAAATATTGCCTACCCTTGGTGTAAAAAAAATTATTGCTTAATCTGTAAACTTTGGAACAGGGACTGTCTCCATTCCATTTTCTGTAGCAATTAGAACAATGGCAAGCCCATATGTAGGAATTTCTGTGGGGGTGTGAGCCATGGGAGGGGCTGGTAGCTGTTCTGCCCCCTCACCCTGGCCTTGCTACTGGGGGTGGGGGAATAGGTCCCAGCGCTCCCCAAGTCCACTGTAACATGGGGGAAGGAGGCTGGAGAAATGTGCTACTTTGGCTGGAGCATGGAGTAGAGAGGCTGGGGCAACGTGCCACCCCAGCCTCATGTTTACTTGGAGGACCATGGGGAGGTGCCTTTGCACTCTATGCACTCCCCTCCCCCCAGTGTATGGGCCAGAATGGAGTCTGGTCTATGATTGGGGGCTCCTAGGAACTACAATAATACAAATAATAATGGTAGTAGTACAGATTGAACCTCTGTAGTCTGATACTCTTGGGACTGTCTGGTGTTGAGCCAGAGATTTTGCTGAACCATGAGAGGTCAGTATGGTCTGGCAGCTTTGCCAGCACTTCCACTACTTATTGGACTGTTAGCTCTAATTTACCCCTAAATGTCTTCTAACTAACACAACGGAACACTGAGAGCCAGGACTGGTTGTAAACAAGCATTTTGGGACCATAGGAAACTTGGTCACATCCATGGTAAGTGGACATCTGGCTAACTAAACTCATGCCAGACCATGGGTGTTGCCAGACCAGAGTGTGTTGGACTAGAGGTTCAACCTATAATACTGTTGGAAGATGATGGGTCTCTTCTAGTGGAGATTTTTCCTCCTTTTTTTCTTGATTTCCTATACAATATGTTTCCTCATCTGGAGGATCAAGGGAGGTAGTTCTGTGGTGTCCTAACTGGAACACCAGCTTTCATTTAAATATAAAAATGGAAGGGGCCTTCAGAGACCTTTCATTTGAGCCCTCTGAGTCAGACCTGGATTAGTGATACATTGAGGCTTAGTCACAAGTGACTCTTTAATGCATCTCCTGTGGCTCTTGGCAGCATATGATATTAAAACTGTGATATAATTATTAACCAATCAGGAATGATATATATTATTCCTGATTGGTTAATAATGTGTGTGTGTGTGCACGCGCGCACACACACAAAGTAAACAATTCACACTACTATGGCTCTTTTGGGTAATGTTGATCACTAATTTCCCTCCTGAACCACGGAGGGATCTAGCTCATCATTGATATTGGTTGTCAAACCAGTTCTTGAAAACCTCCAATGATGGTTTTCCACTAGGGATATTAGATGATGTGTTTTTTAGTAACCACAAGAACTTTTAACGGTTATACAGTTACTAAAATACTTCCCTGGGGTTGGGTCAGCAACCAGTGTGTACTCTAGCTCCTGGCCCCACTACTGGAGAACCCCCTGCCACCTCATGCTGCTACTTCCTCATGCTTCAGAGGCAGCAGCACAAGGTGGCAGCAGCCCCTGTCCACAGGGACTCCAAGCTCCCCACAGACAGAGGCTGCTCTGGCTCCTTGCACATACTGGCCCCTGCTGAGCTGACTGCCCTCCCTCCCCCACCTCTGATACAGAGGCAGAGGTGTGGGAGAATGGGGGTCAGTCGCCCCCAAGTATGGGCTCCCCCACAGCGTGTAAAAATGTGTCCACTGAAAATATCAGCAGATACATGTTTACTCAAATAAACACATTTTAACATCCCTAGTTTGAAGACAATATTTGGGCTTGATTCTATACTTATCAAAGCCAATGGCGAACAGATTTTGCCGTTGTTTGTTAAGCCCTGCTAATAGGTATAGTAATTTTTTCAGGTATATCTTAACCAATCATTCTACTGAAATTTAACCAATCCTAACATAGTGTAACATGATTATCTAACCAATTATATCCCACCATCTTAATTGGCTTACACCCAGCAAAATTAATTATACAGGAGACAGAAACAATAAAAAAAACAGACAGAATCATACAGGTAAACAATAACAAAGCAATAAAGAAATGCAGATTTCACAGTTCCAACTGAAGGTCTCAGAAGGGGAGCTGTGTTAGTCTGTAACTAAAAACAACTTTAAAAAACAACAATGGTCCTGTAGCACCGTAGAGACTTACAACAATATATAAATAGTATCATGAGTGTCATCTGAAAAAGTAGGTTGTGCCCACAAAAGCTCATGATACTGTTTATATATTTTTGTTAGTCTCTAAGGGCATGTCTACACTATGAAGTTATTTCAAAATAACAAGGTTAGTGTCCACTCTACCAAGCCTGTTATTTCAAAATAAAGGGCTTGTTATTTCAAAATAGTAACTTCTGCTTGTGAAGAGGAATAGTGCTATTTTGAAATTGTAATTTCAAGACTTATTATTTTGAAATAACTCCCTAGTGTAGACAAGCCCTAAGGTGCCACAGAACCATTGTTGTTTTTTAATTTTTTGTTATTGATAAGTAAGTCCTTGCCAGATAGAAAACCAAATCTTCAAGGTGCTTCCCTTTATCTGCTTTATTTCAATATTATTGGTTTGGAGTGTGCCAGCAGTGGTGTTCCCAGCTTATGGCTGCCCTTGCTGCTTAAACAAAAGCCTTAGTTCAAGAACAAGGTTTTAGACCATCTTATACAGATAGAATCAAAATCACAGTCTGTTTTTATACGCTTGTAAGAATACACCTAAATTCTTAAAGTATAAGCTGTAAGAGTCAAGCTTGACTATCTGTATAGATCATGGATCGGCAACATTTTCACACCAAAGAGCCAAACTACATCAAAATTCAGAAAAAGCGGTCAACAAAGCTGTATAAGAATACTCATGTGCATGACTGAAAATATACAACTTAATATTATTGATAATTGACATAATGATTAATAATAGCATAAACAAAATATTGTAGTCACAGACTTCTGCTGCTGCATCTCTTTGCCCATTTCTTTGAAGTTTACATCATAACTGGTCAAATCCATCTTCATGCACACATTCAGGCTGTCTTCTGTTCGTCTTATGGTAGGGGGTTGGGTCGGGGTATATGAGGGGCTCAGGGAAGGGGGTTCAGGAGCATGGTGGGCTCAGGACACAAAGTTGGGGTGTGTGGGGTACATGAGTGTTATGGCAGGAAACTGGGGATGTGGGGGTACAGAAGTCTGGGTTGAAGTGTACGAGGGGTTCAGAGCAGGGGTGTATGTTGGGCTCACTGCACGGGGTTGGGGTATGTGTGGGATGCAGGAATTTTATGGTAGGGGACTGGGGATGTGGGGTGCAGGAGTATGAGGCTGTGAGAGTATGAGGGGTGCAGGGCAGTGGGTTCAGGTGTATGAAGGGGCTACACAGGAAGTGGCCCAGGTAGTAGCAGTAGCAACTATTACAGGAATGTATAGCTGCTGTATATAGAGACCCTGGGTCAGGACTCAGAGTAATGTATAGACCTAAGGTCCCTCCATGCCCGCAAGCAAAGTAGTCAAAGTTTCATTTAAAAGCAGGACTTAAAAAGCGTTTCCAGGGAAGATGCCCTAAGGGCACTTCTCTATAACAGGCCAGGGACAAATGTAAAGCTGTCCCAGAGGAGGCTGAGAACTGAGTCCAGAGACCAAAGGCACAGGAACAGGCCATGTTGGACCTTTTATCCTGGTAGGGGCTTGTTCATTCATGCATTTGATTGTGTGATTTACCCACAGAAAGCTGAGCTGCCTAACAAGCCAACCGGGGGCACCACGAAAAGTGAGAGTGTGTGGATTTGTGCCCAGCCAACAATAGACACTCAAAAGAAGTGACAGTGCACAGTCACAATGACCGAAGCACTAGATTTTGGGGGTGTTTTTTTGCTTTGCTGGCAGATAATTTTCTTCTGAATAAACTGGCCTGCTGCATGCAAAGCTTGCACCTGCAACTTTGTAGGTTGGGGCTGGTTCGGAAGTCTTCATATAGTGATTGGGCCCTTGATAATGGATAGTATGTGGCATTTATAGAATAACCTAGAAACAGTAATTAGTTTTGATCATGAAGATTCCATTGAGATTAAATTATAATCCTTATCTGAAATAGGGATGTTAACTATCAAGTAATAGAATAATTGAGTAACCACATTAATTCTTATTGGTTACTTGACTATTCTGTAGTCCTCGGGGGTGGGGCCAGCAGCCAGTACGCTCTGGCTCCACTCCCAAGGAGCCCCCTGCCACCCCATGCTGTTGCCTCTGATACAGAGGCAGCAGCATGGGGTGGTAGCAGCCCTTGTCCACTGGAGTCTGAGCTCCCTGTGGACAGAGGCTGCTCTGTCTTCCATGGAAAAGCCTCTGTCTGTGGCGAGCCTGGGCCCCCTGCAAACAGGGGCTGCTACCATGAAGCAGCCTCTGCCCATGGCATGCCCAGGCTTGCTGTGGACAGAGGCTGTTCTGGGAGATGTGGAGCAGCTGCTGTCTGCGGGGAGCTCAGACCTCCTGCGGACAGGGACTGCTACCACGAAACAGCCCCTGTCTGTGGGTGATTCTGAGCTCCCCCAACATCTGTCTGCGGGGAGCTGAGCCCCCCCCCACCCGTGGACAGGTGCTACTTTGCAGCAGCCTCCTCTGCCCCCCTCTCACTCTCACTGCTGCCTCTATTAGAGACAGAAGCACGGGGAGGGAGGGAGGTGACATTGCGAGCTGGTGCTTGAGGGAACCAGCTTTTAAGTCATCTCCCCCCAGCACCTGCTCCTGCTTCCCCCCTTGCTGGTTCTCATACAAAGGCTACAAGGGGGGAGGGAAATGCGAGTTGTCGACAACATAAGCCTATGTTTATTGGTTAATTGTCTAGTTGCCTACCTGTTGACATCCCTAATCTGAAACAGTATTTTGTTTTTACGGTGATGCCATTTTCTTGGGTCTCAGCCGTGCTGATACCAAGGATGGGGTAAAAGCCAAGACATGTTTTTCATATCTGTTTTCAATGGTTTTTATATTTGGTTTACAGATGTTTGACAGGAGCAAGCCAACTGATGAAGCCTCTGCTTCTTCAGCACAAGGTAAGCAACTGAATTATTAAAACAAAAATACTAACATGCAAAAAACAAAAAGTGTCTATTTTAACTGTAAAAATCTGTCAATTCCCCTTGTTTGAGATGAGTTACTGGTGTTCTAAATTCATAGAATCCTAGACATTAAGGATAGAACCTTCTTCCTATCAGGGGCTACTGACCCACAGAAAAAAAATCAATTGTGGGTCAAACACAGCCCCGCAGGAGGATGTGGAGTTCCCCCCACAGCAGGGCAAGCTGGCACTTACGACTCCTGTCCTGGGGGAGGAGGGAGAGAGTGGGTATAACAGCTCAGAGGGAGCCAGAAATGCCTGTCCCTGCCTGCTCTGGCCCCGTGCTGCATCTGGAAACAGATGCCATGTTTGGCCCCTAGGTGGAGGGGCCAGCCAGCTCTGTGTGGTGCACCTGGGCTTTTGCCCCACAGCTTCCACTGACTGTGGTTCCCAGGTAACTGGAGCTGTGGAGCCAGGTCTTAGGGCAGGTGGAACTTCCCTGAGCTCCCCTTTGCCTAGAGGTCTCAGAAACTTACCAGGGCTTCTGGCCCATAGGGTGGAGATTTGCCATGGTCCGGATGAAAGTAAGCATGGGCCAGAAGTTTCCCACCTGTTTTAAATTATGAATTCAGCCCCCTTGTATGTACAGTTGAATTGTTAAAAAGTTGCATTTTACCCTCGAGGCCTACATTATGGTATCAGGTGAAGTGATTTCAACATAGGACCTAACCTTGATTCCAGTTAACTGAACAGAAAAGAATCCTAATGATGTTAAATGTAAAAAGATAAGGCTTATGATGTATACAACTCTTTGGGAGTAACTGATTTTATATAAATGCAAATTTTCCTAAATTTAATCAATTTTACTTGTGTCCTCCTATAAAATATATTATTTTTGACATTGATAACTTAGTGGGAACAGCTAGCTGCAGAGGTAACAGTGGCCAGTTTTGATGTCTTCTTCCTGGTTTTCTATCTTTTCTTTTTTTTTTCTTTTTTTTTTTAAATAGGTACAGAAAGACGAGGTATTGAAACCTCCCTACAACAGGAAAGCAGTAGCAGGTGAGTCATATGCTATAATTAGCATGAGAGAGGTGGGTGGACAGGAGCACGGTGGATGGGGGGGCTGCTACAGCCCCTACCAGTTAACTGTAACTGAAAAGTCTGTGTCACTTTGTTTATCTCAAGGGTCCATAGCCATGGCTCCCATTGGCTACAGTTCACCGTTTCCAGCTAATGGGAGCTGTGGACCCTTCAGGTAAATAAAGTGGCATTGGTTTAGGATATCAAATTTGCATATGAATGCAGCTCAGCAGTTTCAAGCCTCAGTCTGTTTTTAAAGGGTTTTTTTTTTTGCCTGAGAACAGCTACTTGAACATCCAAAATTGTGTGTCCAGGGAGGCTAAGGTGCTCCCCCACAGGTTTTTGTATGCTGTCACTCATAGTGTATGATTTTCACATCCCACAATGGAAACACTAATCCAGGAATCTAACCCTGCAACAAACCCTTGTCATTAGTCAGATTTCAGAGTTCATCCTGATAGGTTCCTGATAGGTCCTCTGCTCCATCGATGGTGATAAACTTTCGACTGCGTGCGTGCATGTGTTTGTTCCCCTATCTAACTACTCACATTTGTTAACATGACAGACTCCCAAGAGAGCCCCCAGAGACCACAAAACAGAATTGCTGCTGCATCACTACACCTTATGTAAGCCATGACAACGTGCTAACATACATTAAGCGCCATACAGTGCCCCCCTATGGTCAGCCAGCAATCACCCTTTGAAGTGCACTTTTTACACATGTACAAACAAGCCACACATCACTGACATATTAGGTAGCCACCCTCTGTTACCTGGTTACCACCCTTTACCTCGGAGAAGGGGGCTTACTTACTATTCTTCATGCTGTCAACTTACTATCTATCATGCTGTCAACTTCGACTTGGTCCTGAACCAAAGTCAGTATGTACATTATTTATGGGGAGATGGTTGGTACAAAGACATTTCTTATCAAGGCATTCTGTTACAGCTCCCCTGGAATGTGCTTACTGCCTGTGCTTGGCACCTGTACTTGGTACTTTATGCTTGACCTGGCTTATACGATTTCTCTTTAGCCAAGCCTTTTTCCTGCCTGCAGTTTCACTGAGCCAAAGTCTTGCTCAATAGATTTCAGGCCTGCTGATTTTATGTTACTGACCCTCAACTTACTACAACCCTGTTGCCAGCTCTGTCTAAACATCTATTCTAGTGATACCAACATAGAACCTAACCACATCATCTATACCAGGATGGGCAAGAAAGCTTCCGTGGGCCAGATCTGGCCCGCCAAGCTGATTGATCCAGCCCAGGGCCACCCTGCCACTCTCCTGCCGCCAAGGCCAATTGGGAACTAGGGAGTGTGCAAAATCTACTCCCCCTGCCAGCAGTGTACAGCATCTAGAGAACCACCAGCTGTTCAAAACAGCTGACGGTTCTCTTTAGGCGCTGTGCACCCCTGTCAGGGCAGGGGGCTAAAACTTCACACGCTCACCCACCCCCAGGCCAATCAAAGTCTGTGGGCAGGGGAATATGCAAAGTCTCCTGGGCCTGCCCCTCCTGCCTGAGACCCCGCCCCTTCTGGGGCAGCCCACAACCACCTCTGAAATTCGTGAAGTGGCCTTCCCTTCAAAAATTAGTGCCCACCCCTGATCTATACTATCAAAGGCTCATTGACATGCACATCTACTAATGGAATACAGGCAGTCCCCAGGTTACGTACAAGACAGGGGAATATGCAAAGTCTCCTGGGCCTGCCCCTCCTGCCTGAGACCCCGCCCCTTCTGGGGCAGCCCACAACCACCTCTGAAATTCGTGAAGTGGCCTTCCCTTCAAAAATTAGTGCCCACCCCTGATCTATACTATCAAAGGCTCATTGACATGCACATCTACTAATGGAATACAGGCAGTCCCCAGGTTACGTACAAGATAGGGACTATAGGTTTGTTCTTAAGTTGAATTTGTATGTAAGTCGGAACTGGCTCCAGATTCAGCTGCTGCCACTGAAACTGACCAGG